TTTCCTTTGCCTATTTTTGCTTTTGTTGCCTGTGCTTTTGATTTCATATCCAAAAATCTTTGCCCAAATCAATATCAAGAAGCTTGGGAATAATGTGTTTTCACAAAAGCAAATGTGAAGATAGTGGCTACTTTCAGGGTACAAAATACCCATCCTTCCAGTAACCTTTTTTGGGGTGACCTTCTTATTCAGATGATCATCCTCACTTGACTGCCCCAAGCTCTGGCACTGTCCCATTGCATGACTTTGTCTACTTTTGATGTTAAAATTTGCTATGTTAATATATGATTATATTTGTTAATTCATTTGTGTGTTTGACGAAAATTTATTGTGCCTACTGTGTGCCAAATAACATGCTAGGTTCTGGAAAAGTATTATGAGCAAACTAGGCACGATACTTGACCTCATGAGGCTTACGCCCTAGTAGCAGAGTCAGATATTAATGGATAATCTCACAAATAAATTATATGTACTATATATACTATAGAAATACTATAGGAACACTACAGGCATTTACTATGTATACTATAATAATGCTATAGAAATATAAGGAATGCTATAGAGAGACATGACTTAGTCTAAAGGATCATAGGAAGACTTACCTAAGAAATTATATTTGAACTGGGAATTGAAAATTATCTACTGGCTTGTGTTTTTATTCATTTATATATTCATTTGTTTGTCCTTCAAGTATTTATTAAAGACCTTTTCTGTGCTAGACACCATATTTAGAAACAGAGTCAATTTCCTAAATTCTTTGAAAAGTTTTTAATTTCTTCTGTTAAACAAACACTATTGTTACCATTTCAGTAAAGTGGATAATGAAGACACCTATGATATTCCAGAGGACACCATATATAAGAAAGTAGTTTTTCGAAAGTACACTGATAGCACTTTTACCAGGCGTGATCCTCGGGGAGAGTACGAAGAGCATCTTGGCATTCTTGGTCCTGTTATTAGAGCTGAAGTGGATGATGTTATCCAAGTAAGTCATCTTTGAGCACTGCTAAGATCATCAGAGGAATTTCAACAAGCACCAGAAGGTTATAAAGAGGAAGGTAGCAGGAGGACTATAGGTGATTT